AGAAATATAAAAGAAAATGACATGAGTGACACTGAAAATGAAATAATAGAAAACATGGAAGAACACCAAGAAAACAGAACAGAAGAAGAAGATGATCAAATAGAAAATTTAAGGGAATATGAAAACAGCTCATTGGGAGAAGGATAGAAAGAAGAATTTAGAACATTACAAGAAAGAATACCAAACTGTGAGACCAGAAGTGGGAGAAAAACAACAATTCCTAACAGATTTGATGATTATGTCATGTTAACATATCAAGAAGCCATAACTAATTCAGAAAAGGAAAATTGGATAAAAGCAATATATGAAGAAAAGAGATCACTGATAAAAAATGATACGTGGAAGTATGTAGATAAAGAAAAGGCAAAAAATCAAAAGGTATTAAGTAGCAGATGGGTATTTAGAATAAAGGAAAATGGGATTTTTAAAGCAAGATTGGTTATAAGAGGTTGTGAACAGCAATATGGGATAAACTATCAGGAAACATTTAGTCCAGTAATTAGTATTACTTCGTTACGAATACTTTTTGCGCTGACAGCTTCGAATCATTGTTTTTTGTAAATTTGACATAAAAACCGCCTTTCTATATGGCAAATTGGATCAATGCATTTTTATGGAAATTCTTGAAGGCTTCAAGACAAGAAACAACAAAAATGAAGTATGTTTGTTACAAAAATCACTTTATGGACTTAAGCAGTCACCCCTAAAATGGAATGAACATTTCCCAAAAGTACTCAAATCGAAAGGGCTTACTGCACTCAAAAGTGAAAAATGCATATTCAAAAATATAACTTCAACGTTATTTCTGGCCATTTATGTTGATGATGGGATTAGTGTTGGTGAAAATTGTGATGAAATGAATAGATTACCCGAAGAATTAAAACATGAATTTGAAATGGTACCATGTAACAATCCTACTTCGTTCTTAGGAATACAAATAAAATGTGACAATAATAAAATCTTTATCGCAAGAAAACTTCATTGATGCAACTTTAGAGAATTTTGGATTTCAAAATTTAAATCCTGTGTCAACACCGATGCAATACGATCCCAAAGAAGATGAAATACCCCCGAAGAATCAAGGATTCCCATACAAAGAGCTTGTTGGTAGTTTATTATATCTTACAAACAAGACCAGACTAGACTTATCTTTTTCGGTAAATATGTGTAGCAGAAAATTGGACAATCCGTCGTGTCGGGATGTAGTTAACTTAAAACGCATTATTCGATACCTAAAAAAAAAAGATGGTATTAGTTACACCAAAAATTCAGACTGTAACGAAATAGTGGCATACTGTGATTCTGATTTTACCGGCGACATACTATCTCGGAAAAGCACTACTGGCTTCGTTTTAATGTTTTGTGGAGGACCTATTGGATGGTGTTCAAGGAGACAGCCCATAGTTTCCCTTTCCAGCACGGAAGCCATAGATAATAGATCTACAAGGGGTAATAGATGGTCAACTCGAAATGCGCTGATTTGCGCGCCCTCCGGCAGGTCTAGTCAATACTAAATAAAAAAGGCGCGCACTTCAAATGTGTTAGTTACTTATTGTTTTTCGTAATGTGTAAGTTAAAGTGAAAAATGGATAAAACAACGCAATTTTCCTTTTTATAAAAGAAAACACATTGTTTCTTTTGTTAAAAAGGAAATACATTGTTTCTTGTCCATTTTTCACCTTAACATAAGAATTAGCGAATTTTAAAGTGTAAAAGTAATAATAAGTGAAGGAATAGTAAAAAAAATTATTGAATGTTAACAAATAAACTTGTATAAAATAAAATACTTTATGTAATTTGAACAGAAAGTTGAGCAAATAGAAAAGGCCACAAAAGTCATCGAAGTCAAAAGTGAAGAAGGAACGTCATCGTTGGTGACTATGAAAATAATGCAAATTATAGTTACAAAATACATTGTAAAAGAGTCGCAAGAAGCATAAAAATTGAACGTTAGTCAACCTTTTTTGCAAAACTTACCAAAATCTGTGGCAGGACAACTTTGAAGGGATGCTCGTAGAGGGGCGAAAATTATCGGCGACTGTGAAATCTGTAAAAATAATGAAAATTATACTTAGAAAGGTACCGCACGGAATACGTTCAACAAAAGGTATGCATAAAATTGAACGTTAGTCAACCTTTTTGGAATTATTTACCTGAAATTGTGGAAAGACAACTTAGAGAGAAGCTAGTAGGAGGGCGGCGATCATCAGTGGCTGTAAAATCTGTAAAAATAATGAAAATTATATTTAGAAAGGTACGCGAAGGAAGAAAGAAAATTGCGTTACAAATAACAAGAAAATATGCCATAGTTACAATTCTTTGCCAATTGGATTTTATAAGCAATAATGTATTATTATTATTCTCATTTTAATCAGTAAACTTTAACTAATTTTCCAACTAAAATCCCTATCCCTATGTTAGCGTACTTCATTAGGTGTATATTACACAAACAAGTGTACAATCATGGAAAGAAAATTATTGAATATTTATATTTATAATTTCGTCATTTGCATATTTACGAATGTTGTTTTCTATATTGTAATTATTTCTGCAACAAAATTAGAAATGTAATTCATTTACAGGATGTATGTCAACAGTACACGAAAACTTTCTTTCGGTACGGTGTTATTTGTACTTTGTCAAGTTACCGGATTAGTAGTTTGCATGAGGAGATTATTCACTCTTTTTTTGTCAAGTGAATTTAATGAAACTTCATTTTGCAAGCACATGTCATTTAGTTCCATTGTATAATTGAGTACAAGAAAAATAAATCACTGTCGACCAATCAGTTATGTACGTATAATTTTCTTTCTTTCAAATCCAAGTTCAAATTCGCACTACAACGGAAGCAAGGTCACGCGCAAGCGAAACGAAATGTACATGTCGGTACTTCATAAATAAATAAACTGCTTCCGATAACGATGTCTATTTTGTAGAATGTAGATTATACTATTAATACCTACCACAGTCAAAACATTCGTTAAGTTATTAGTCGTTATTGAAATACTTTTCCTTATTCAATTTAGCATTACACATACGCCATATATTGTTATTATAATATACAAACACATCATACGT